CTGGTAGCATTCTTGAAAACATTCTAACTTGGTATAATCATTGAGGATGGCAGTGTATAGAAAAAGTCTAGTTTACAATGACTATTTCCCATTGGGTTAGATTGTGTCATAAATTCAGATAATTTCTTCAATTAAAAAATTATCATCAAAACCACAATGAGATATCACCTCACACCTGTCAGAGTGGCTAAAATCAAAAGCATGAGAAACAAGTGTTGAGGATGTGGAGAAAAAGGAACCCTCATGCACTGTTGGTGGGAATGCAAACTGATGCACCCACTGTGGAAAACAGTATGGAAGTTCCTCAAAAAGTTAAAAGTAGAACTAATTCTACTACTGGGTATTTACCCAAAGAAAACAGAAACACTAATTTGAAAAGATACATGCACCCCTATGTTTATTATAGCATTATTTATAATAGCCAAGATATAGAAGCAGCCCAAGTGTCCATCCATAGATGAATGGATAAAGATGTGGTGTATATACAGTGGACATAAAAAAGAATGAGATCTTGCCACTTGCCAAAACATGGATGAATCTAGAGGGTAAAATGCTAAGCAAAATAAGTCAGTCAGAGAAAGACAAATACCATATCACATGTGGAATTTAAGAAAAAAACCCAAACAAACAAAGAAAAAAGGAGACAAAGAAATAGACTCTTAAATATAGAGGACAAATTGGTGGTTGCCAGAGGGGAGGCTGATGGGGAGAGCATGAAAGAGATAAAGGGGATCAAGAGTATACTTATTGTGAGGAGCACTGAGTAATGTATAGAATTGATGAATCATTATATTGTACACCTGAAATGAGTATCAGTCTGTATATTAATTAAATGTAAATTTAAAAAAAATAAATAATTAAAAGAAAATTATCCAGAATGATATTTTGGCTTTTGGCCAAAAAGTCAAAAGACTTTTGGCCCCACTCTGTAAAAACTATATCGATCCAAATGTAAGGTCTAAATCCTTCTGAAAATGTTATCTCATTACATACTGTTCTACATATATATATATCTGACAAAATTGACAATGAGAGCTTCTTTACCAAGTCTTATTCTTTTCTCCCAGGAGTGCTTTCATCATCAAGGCAGTAAGGTTGCTGATCATTTCACAGAGTTGCATGAAAAAAATATTGTCTAGATGATGCACTGACAAAATAATGATAAGCATCTGAGAAAATATAGACATGGAAATGATATATACTTTTGTCCTCAAAGCTATTACCATTTTGATTTAGTATTTTAACATAATTTTATGATTATGAAATGCTCTGATAATTTTTGCATTCACCTGTTGCTTTATAGTTTTTTGAAAACATCTAGGTGTGCATCTATTATTAAACATTTATTCCTTACCTACTATATGCTAAGACTGTGCAAAATGCTGGAATCTACTGTTTTTACTTCTCTGACCAACACTTTAACAATTGAGATGACAGCCAAGAACCAAAAATAGATATTAGAATTCTCACTTTGGACCCATGCATTCAAATTCTCCAAACTAGTAATCCTATTTGAATGGAAAAGTGCTGGGTGGATATTTGTTTCCCAAGGGAGGCATGTGTAAAGTGGCACCATGCTATTATTATTTTTGGCATCCAAGCAAGAGTAGAAACCAGGCTCCTTGAAAAATCTACATGGAATGCAAAGTTAGCCTTTAGACTTCCTCCTCCCGCTTTCCTTTCCTTATCCTTCTATTTCTGGCAATCCCTCCTCTCCATTATTTATTGCCTTCATTTATTCATTGCATTCGCTCACTCACCTGTCATTTATGTTTCAAACAAGAATAAGGCTCTTTGCCAATGGAGAAACAAAGCTATGAAAGAAAGGGACCACGTTGCAGGCAGCTGCTGATTCTGTTATAAAGATAAGTCATGTCCAGGCATTACCACATCACAAAGAAGAACATGAAAAATGCCACTTGGTGTATTTAACTGTAAGAGCTGAGAGGATGTAAAGCACCCAAATTCTACACCAACTGAGACCTGCCTTCTCTTGAAGTAACCCCTCCTCTCAACCAGAGGTTTGTAACCTTAGCTGCACACAAGAATCACCTGCAGAGTTTTTAAAAGTCCTGATACTCAGGTCAAATCCAAATCCTGTTTTGAAAAATCTCTGGAGAATGGACCCAGATGTCAGCATTTTTAAAATTGGCTATTCCGATGTGTAACCTCAGTTGAGAACTATTGCTCTAAATATCCCTTCTTCTTTTGAATCTCATGTTACAGAAATTTTAATATCACTTTCCACATTACTGTGGAAAGGGGCAGAAAAGGGAAATCACTTCAGGAAAACATTCACTTTCCTCATTCTCTTAACAAAAAACACATAAGCAAACAAAAACAAAGCAACAACAGCAAAACTGTCCTCTTCTGTAAGTTCTTGAGGTAACGAATTAAAAATTAAAATTAAAACAAAAAACAAAAAGCCCATAGAGATCTTGGTAATCAGTTGTGGAAGTAGCAGTAAGGTGGCCAGAGAGGCCTTTCTTGGCATGTGGTATAGTTTGAGAGGTTCAGGGAAGAAATGTGATCCTCTGCATGGAAGATGAGATTGAGTAGGTTAAACCTGTCTGGTTAGATGTAAAGGTCTTGGAAAAACGAAATACAACAGTAGTGGGAGGTCTGATTTGTTTTTGACAACAAACCTTGAGTATTTATTCCAGTAAATTTCACAAGATTAGATCAATTAGATCAGTGGTCAAATTATCAAGCCATTTTAGGATTTGTGACAACAAAACAAAACAAAATGCAAGTCATAAATCAGGACTAAGAATCTGACCCTAAATATGATGGGTGGGGGTGAGCATTAGGAAACTATAACAAAGAGCCCCCCAAATTTGGCTGCTGTTGTGAAATTGTGACATTTGTTGCATAGATACAAAAAGTCTGTTGTCAGCAAATAAAAACTAAGTAGAAGAATATAGAAGAGATTTATTTTGAAGTATTCTCTTTATTTCTGGTGCCTAAAAGCATCCTTTCCATGTTCTTCCTTCATATCATTGATAGTGACGTGGATTAGGAAGCCCGTGGATAAAACAGACCCGGATTCTAACTCTGGTTCCTTTTCTACTACCTGTGAAAACTTGGGTTATAGTTTAATTCTCTGGACTTCAGATTCCTTATCAGCGAACTGGGGGAAATTACCTATTTCAGAAAATTGTGAACATTAAAGAACAAATAATTAGATTGAGGCTCTTAATAATTTCGAGTCTTTTTCCAACTCTTTGTTTTGTCTGTTGTTACTGATATAATCTCTAAAACAGCTTAAATTTTTTTAAAGGCTTATTTATTTTAGAGAGAGAGAGAGAGAGAATAGGCCCGTGCAAGTGCGCACACATGAGTGGGGGGAGGGGCAGAGGGACAGAGAGAATCTCAAGCAGACTCATGACCCTGAGATCATCACCTGAATCAAAATCAAGAGTCAGCTGCTTGACCAACTGAACCACCCAGGTGCCCTAAAACAGCTTAAATTCTTGCAGATGTAGGGGAGATAAAAATTATGTAGGACACAGTGTGCTAATGGTAGCAGTAAGTTCTTGGGGTGGGGGTGGGGGCTGGGTCATCTAAGCCTACACGTGATAGAGTCTTCTGCCATGAATAAACTTGATCAAATCATTGGGGGCAAGAGATTAGTTATTTTTGATCCTCTGTTTATCTACAGACAGGGTCTTACTCTAGATTAGGGGTGGCAAACTCAAGGGCAGGCAGGGCCCTTGCAGGTCTGGGGGGTGGTGGGGGCACAATTTGAGCAACTGGAGCGTGAGAACATGCTCTCTTCAAGGGGCAGCCTCTGCTTACATCAAGCAGGTTCCTGGCACACAGGGATTTAGTCTCAGTTGTTGCCAGATTTGATTTTTCAAGAAAAGTCAGACCCATATTTAATGTAAAATCTCCCAATTTTTAAGTGTTGACAACTAATTCTATTTTCTTTCAACATCCTGTGGGCCAACCAAAACATATCTGAATACAGCCTGTGTGCTACCTGTTTTGCAACGTTTGGATTTTAAAGGTCATTTTCACTCCCAATGCCCTCTGCTCCGTGAGCCCAAGAATCATTATATACGTCCCGCATGAAAGGTTCACCCTAAGATTAGAAATACAGTCATATTCCCCACTTCCAAATAAGTATTTCCTGTTGTTAGTGTTTCATTATCCATAATGAATGTTACCTCCCAGGCAATTCTTATGCAAACAGCTTCTTGTTCCAAAGTTAAAATCAGATACATTTCCTGTTACTTGCCAAAGTGCATAGACCTAATTTTCTGCATGTTAGTTTTATCTTTTTTAACACATCTGGGGGCTGGTTTCACTTCCCCAGGGCCCTACTTTATTTTGCACCAAGTCTTGGGCGGTAAAACTTTAATGAACTTCAGCATTTATAAAAGTCTTGGAGAAACACAGTCTTCCATCCTACCTGCTGTGAACTGAATGGCACTCTCCCCAAAATCAAGTGATGAAGCCCTTACCATCAGTGTGACTGTATTTGGAGATGGAGCCTTTAAGAAGGTGATTAAGGTTAAATGAAATCGTAAGGGTGGGGCCCTTCTCCAATAGGACTGGTGCCCTTATAAGAAGAGGAGGAGACACCAGCAGTGCAGGGGCAGAGAGGAAAGGCCATATGAGAACCCATCTCCAAGTCAGGAAGAGAGCTCTCACCGGAAACCAAACCTGCAACCACCTTCACCTTGGACTTCTGGCTTTCAGAAGTCTGAGGAAATGAATTTCTGTTGTTTAAGCCACCCAAACTCTATGGTACTCTGTTATGGCAGCCCTAGCAAACTAACACACCCTCTATAACTAGCCTGTCTTTGATGTCTGATGACCTTGGGCTTTTAGAATCCTTTAAAATCCCAGTTAGGGATTTTAGGCACATCTTCCCATTTGACTTCCTGCTCAGGGCATTATGGAAATTTTGTATCTCCAATCATAAGTGTCTCCCTTCTGGGAGATATATCAAACTTTATATATAATGGCAGAATATAAACTATTTGGTGACTCACCCATAAAATGTGAGATAAAGGAAACCAATCCTTTTCCCAAGTTTTAAAACTTGTCCTCGTTTGTCAGATGCTCCTGTGAGTCGTACTATGCCTACTTTCTTGAGGCTGGAGAGCCACTTGTAGGCATGTTCATCATTTTTTAAAACATCTTCAAAATCCAGTGTAGGTAGCTGGAGCTCTGTGCCCCAGTACTGACATTCTGTGAATAAGAAAAAGAAGAAACCAGATGGGATTACGTTGCTTTTATATAAAATGAGAACCTCTGAGAAGGGACTAGTTCATTGAAGTTGACCTTTGATTTATCATGGGATTTACGAAATTTCAGTCACATTCGAATTGCCCAAGCCACTAGATTTTCTTCCCTGGGGCCATGCCAATCTACTATATACCTCCTGCCTACCACTGCCTGACCCATGACAGGTATTCACTAGACCTTATTTGTCGAGAGAATGTTTAGCTCATGGATAGCTCTTGATCTGTACGTCCTTAGGGCTTCTTTGCCTGGACTCTGCTTAGAAACATCTCCACTGAGACCCTGTGTGTTTTAATGGCCGTGTTACATTGCTCAACTCCAAATAGATGATAAAATCTGAATGATGGACTTAGAACAGCATATGCACATTCTTAGAGGTGGGAGGAGTGTTTGCCTTGACCGGTACAGCTCCTTCTTCCTCTTATTTCACCTGATAAGAAGCTTTCTCTGAGGTCAAATCATTCTTTGGAGTCAACAAAAACTGTCCATGGGGAAGAAAAGATGAAAGGTGTGGTCCTGGGATGCATAAAAAATGCATTTTGCATAGATCCTTTGATGACAACACCACAGTAGATAAAATCAAATGCCTTCATTAGCTTTCTGATTCCTCATGATCAACTGCTTCTTGAAGAAACAGAAAGGAAATCAAATGGAAAAAATAATTTGCTTTGCAAATCAGGCTCTCCCAAAGGAGGCAGAACACAGAGATGTCATTTTGCCAAGGGAAATAACTCAGATATTAACAACTGCATTCAGGAGAGACCTAACTCGATCTAATCCATTTGATTTCTTCAGTTTTGGAAGAAAGAATCTGCCTTAGGAAGGCAAACCTTCCCAACAAGTGACAGAACGAGATCTTATGATCTCAGTATCATCCTGAGCCATGCCTCACTTCTCAAACGGGGGAATATACATCATGTTATGGAAAACAGCCCCAAGCCCACAGTTTAAGAATGAGGACTGGATCAATGTTCCTGTGTAGTTGTTGTAGACTGGAAATCATGGCTGTTTCTGCAGAAACGGAGATTTCTCAGGAGTCAGATAATAGTCTTAGAAGTGAAAAAGTGCCTGCAGGTTGAGGAGGCCACCTCCTGCTCTCCCACCAGCTAATCAGCCACATGCAGCTAGTACTGTATGAAACAGGATATGAATAGGGTAAAGAATGGAGGCACAGGGCCTGGGTTTCAATCATTGTCCTGCATCTTACCAGCTAGTTTCTTGGTGTCTTTTCTGAGCCTCCATCTTTTAATTTATAAAATAGCCACAATTATATTTACCATGCAGGTCATCTGTTGACCATGCAAAGAGCCTAGAATAGTGCTTGGCACATGGTAGACAACTGCTATTCCAACCACCTATAGTAATAGCCAGTATTTGTTGAGTCCTTTCTAGATGGTAGGCACAGTGCGAGGTGCTTTCCATATGTTATTTCTTTTAATGTCCACAATAAAAAATAGATGCTTTCAGCATTCCCAAGTTATGAAGAAGGGAGGAAGAGAGATCCAAATCATGCAGAGCTAATGATTTGCAGAGCTAGTTAATCAAATCCAGGCAACCGATTCCAAAGTCTATAATTTTGACAACTACACATAAAATAAACAGGTGATGCCTTGAAATACTGTTGTCACATGTGTTTTTATGCCCTATGTCTGAATGTCCATTTCTTATTCTGTCCCTTACAAAGGAAATCTACTAGATAAAAAAAGAAAGCAAAGCAAGTTACACTTAGGACCACTTTGTCCGAACTTGTTCAAGCAGGGGTGTTTAAAGATAAATCTTGAATATAACACTGTGTGTTAATTATACTGGAATTTAAAAAAAAAATTACTACACTTGATTTTAGCCAAAAGGCCAAGAAACAATGGAATTAAAAAAAATTAAAGATAAACCTTGGCTCCTAGTCAGGATTTTAGATGCAGAAAAAACGTGGAGTAGGTTTCATTTACAATGACATTGCTGTCCACCTTTTGTGAAATGAACCAAGGCTTAAAAATCAGCGAGCTTCTCTTCTTAATTTATGCCAGTGTATTTCAGGGGTCCAGGTCGGTTTGCTTTAACTTAGGGCCATTATCACTTTCCAGAGAGTGTCAGTGACCATGTGTCAGGGAAATAGAATACACAGAGATTGCAAAAACATTTTCCAAGATGTAAATGTTTTAAAAACTTCGAGTTCATATTTTGACTACTTTGTGGATTTAAGGAGGGCCTCCTTAGGGCACATACCATATACATCTATATACATTTATAGCATGTTTTAATGAGGTTTTTTTTCCACATGAGTCATTTTCCCATTATATAATAACACACATGTGTGCACACACACACGCACACACATGGGCACACACACTGTTTTTCGTTCTAAAAACAGAATGAGTTAGGTTCTTTCAATAAGTCTGTTACTCGTTACATGTGTAAAATTAACCATGTTCATGCTGAGACTCCAATATAAACCAAGGCTCTCAGTACTACACAAAGTGTAGTCTCTACTCTAAGTAATCTCAGATTTACAGGATTTTACTATCAGAGGGCGGTTACAATGCCTTTTAAGTTCTGTAAAGTTCACTATTTTCCAACTCCAGCTCTCATTCTGGCATGCCCTGGCAAGGACTTGACAAAAATCAGCAACCAAGGGCCAGACCTCATTATAGAACCCGTTTCCTAATATGAGCCACTCATACACTCAGTTATGTTACAAGTGACTTTCCGAGATAGCACTGTGACTACCCAGTTTCTAAACTCATCATAACATCCACGATATAAAATATTCTAATTTGTGGGGAGAAATAAACTAAGTTTCAATAAATCCACCAGTAAAATCATTTCATGATATCTGCACAGAAACTTCAACATTGAAAAAGCAATTTAGAAGCTCCTCCCCAGTCTCCCCCAATCACAGAACAGAACTACCATGGACTCAAGAGAAAACATGTTTGACTAGAGTAAATCATTTGTCAGGTGAATACATTAAAAGCAAATTTAAATTTCACACTTGGGTCTGGAGACATAAACAGTATGGAAAATGACGGAATATTTAAGGCATGAAACACCCTTTCTAATTTAACTTATGGCCTACTAATAAATACTTCCTTGAACATGTGCTTCACACATCATAAAATTTATGAACATGCTACATGCTGGCTTTCAAGGAACTGTTTGTACAAGATTTCCTTCTCGGGGTTAAGCATCACATTCCTGAATCTTGAGTTGTATTTCAAAAAAGGAAAAGACACAAAGAAGCTCTTTGGTTAAAGATTCCTGAGTGCAGCATCCTGGGTTGCAATGTGTTATTTTGAGTTTAGAACCTTCCGTCCACCTGCACTGAACTGTTCTTGGCTCTGAAATACCAAGTCTAATGTGCTTCAGATCAGCCAATCACTTACTGTCTCTTCCAGTGAATACTTAGCAGGACCCAGACAAAGCCAAAATCTGACCCTTGTAGAGGAAACGTACCTGGGTGTAAATAGGGCTTTGAGTCTCTTCCCTGGGCTAAGGCGATCCTGCCTCTCTGGATATTCTTTAACTTCTTGTCTAGTGAATTTGACATGTCTCAAGAATCTGATCACTGCTCTCTCTTAGACTGAGATCTTCCAGAAGCTGACCTGAGATGAGGATCTGAATGCAAGCCATGTATTAAGGAGGGATCCCTGGGAGAACTAATAGGAGGTGGGGAAGTAAGACAGGGAAGGAAGCCTCTGGAAATCATTTTAATGACTGGTTAAATGAACCACTGGGCCTTAGGGCAATACTGTAGACTATACTTCAGGGTTGTCCCACCCAGGGCAAGGAAGCTGGGGTGCAGATGCCACCCATGCCTACCTTTCTTTGGCCGCTTCTCTAGGCACTTGTGGAGACCAAGGCAGAGAAACCCCTTCAGCTGAGTGGCAGTCTGTGCTAGAAAGTGGCTGGCATGCATGGGAAGAGTACTGCAGGGCTGTGGGGGCGGTGGGGGGTGGGGGCACGGCCAGCCTCTGCAATGCCCTCCTTTAGGGTCTATAAGACTGAGCTAGATGGCTATCTTCTGTGGTCCCCCGGCACTGAAACACACCTCAGCCTCAGCGCTTGCCACATTGTGCTGAAATGATCTTGCACTTATTCAACACATACTTGTGGAAAGCCTTGCTATTCAAAAGAGATCACATTCATGAATAAAAATGATGTGATCGCACATCTGTTTTGTGAAGGGAAAAGTGAATAAGCAAGGAAGCAAACAAGTAAATACATAAGAATGAACATTGTAGCAAGTGCTCTGGAGGTAACAAATGGGGTGCCTCTGCAAACAATTATTGGGAGCCAGATGGGGAACATATTTACACATGGCAGTTAAGAACTATCTAGCTAAAGAGACACTACTGAAGCCAGACGCCAGTGGGTGAGAGAAGGCAAAGACGCAAAGGGCAGGGAGAAGAGTGTCTCGGCGGAGAGACAGTAGGAAGAGGGAGAATCTCATCTTGTTGGGGGAACTCAAAGTTTCTAGGGCTAGAACCCAGGCAAAGAGGAGGGTAGCAGATGAAGTGTAAAAGTTAACAAGGGTCGGTCAGGCAGGACTTATCTCTCTTTCTTCCACTAGATTACAAGTTCCTTGCAAGGGACGGAGAGCATATCACATATCTTTAATTCCTCACCTCTACTGCCCCATTCTCCCTCCACCCTCCAGCATAGAGCCCAAGGCTGGCAAGCAGTAGATTTCCAGAAAACTAGTATGTCTGTATCCTAAACAAATCTTCGCTTATTTTCTAATGGGGACTAGAGACTGGAGGCACACCCTGAAAGATGAGATTGTGTCTGAACACTCTTTAGTATTTTAAAAGATGGAGAAATCTATAAAACCTTTTCCCTAGGTGATAATCCCACCAAACTCAAAAAGTCTCCCCAAGGATGTATAAAACACACTTCTACACAAGTTTATGTTGCTTGAAATGAAATGAAATTTTTGGACTATTAGGTAC